CCTTGAGAAAGGAAAAAGGAACAAATGAGTTTTACTTACGTTACAATAATGACAAGAAAATCTAAGCAGTTCCATGGATCTCGAAGAAATGTAAATTCATGCCAAATAAATCCTCTCGCTAATACTTTTACCAGTATTTCACCAGTATAAATGCCAGTAAAAAGATGTCTGAAAATGAAAGCATATATGCAAGTGATAGAAATAAACATATTAATGAGATTGAGTTCAGACACTCAGTGAATGGAGATGAAGGAAGAAAGTGCAAGGTACAATTGGACAGGATATATATATATATCTTTCTATGTATATATCTGTATATATCTTTGTGAGATATGCTTTCACAAAAATCATGAGAGTGAATTTGAGAATTTTACTAGGCTTTCCATGTACGATTTTATCAGTTAAAATGTTCACATCAGTATAACATACCTCGATGAAGAACAGCTCATCCTTATGAAAAGTTCTGAAAAATCGCATTTATGTTCTAAAGCACACCGAAAAAAATTAAAAGCTTCAACAGAGCGATAGCAGCATAGTTTTATTTATTTATTTATAGCCTGAAAGAATTTGTACATTTTATATATTTACTCTGATGAATACTGTATAACCAAAATAAATCCTGCATAAAGAAAACTATCATTGCCCATGTATTTATGACAGAGGATGAGGAATAAAATTATGACACCTCAGGTGCCAGAGCATTTTCAAGATTTAATTCCAGAACATTAACTAAAGTTATACAGGGCAAATTGCACTGTATGCAATTTATTACAGAAGGTAACATGCCATTTTAAATGACGATTTCCTAGTGCAAAGAACAGAACTGGGCTGTTCACAGGAAAAACAAAGCAGGAAGGCATGTAATGAGTATTTGCCTTTCTAAAGCTTTTTCATGAGCTGGCCATAACAGACATTCAGATTACTCTTTTAGTATGAAAGATATTCAAAATCAGAATCCTTCTTCACAGTCTCTCCAAAAAGTTTCAGCTTTAAAAGGAAAAATGGGGTCATGGGGTCAGCTCAGGGAAAAGGGAATATTGTACACTCTAACAAAAGACACTGAAGTGTCACAGGAAGACTGGATAGCCATAATTCCAAATCTTCCTCAAAAATCTCTGAGTCTCTTCAAGCACTAGAATAGATGGTCACAACATTTAATGTTTCAGCCCAGTATGCTGTGCTTGAAGAAAGAGTGAATAAAGGGCAAATGAGATACTTACTCAGTCCAGTTGAGCCTTACTGGCAGGTCAGATGTAGTCATAGAAGCACAGTTGAGTACCACAGTACATGTAATAAACCCAACAAAGAATGTTAATAATAAGTTAAGGAAAATGTGGTCTTTTTTTAAAACAATAACTTTTAGAAAACTTGCTAAACACACAGGAATATTTAAATAATTATTTATCCGCTTTTGAATATGCCCAGGACTCCTCATGTTCTTTTCTAAGAAACTGATGGCAGATCAGACTTCTGCTCAACTGAGTTAATGATTAAAAACATAACAACGAATGACCCTTATGTGAAGATGGGTATTAGAGGGAGATTCAGGTGGACATAATAGATAAAAGATAAAAGAAATGAGAATCAAGCAAATCTGAGATCCTTCAGCTCCTAGTAGCTTTCAAAAATCAATCCGAATCTCCTTCTAATCCCTTTCCTTATTAGAGCATCTATTTCCACAAATTAATAAGCCCAAAATGAAAACAAATATTTAAGATCAAAAACCACCGACCACACAGTTTTACAACCAAAAGACTAACTCTTGCACTGATATTTTTGCAAAGATATACAAAAAATGGAGCCTTCACAGCTGTCTAAATTTGAGCTCGTAATGCCATTCTTAGGCTAACACAAGAATCATTCCATAAAACATTGCTGTCATTCCTAATGTTTTTAATTCACTTAGTTTTCTTTTGTTTGATTTTTAATACGCTTCTCAGTAAAGATTTAAAAAAAAAAGTTCTGAAAAGGGTTGAAATAACACACAGGGGCTGCTAAATTTTTCTTTGAAACAATATCAGCAAATTTGATTGTTTAAATATGATCATTTTAACATCCTTACTTGTAGCAACCACATATCCTTGCTGTCATAAAACAATATTCAGTTTATTTTTTGTACATCTCTCAGTATCACAGCCACATGAGCTTACTTTTATCTTAACAGAAAAAGAAGAACAAAATGGCAGAAAATGATACAGTATATTTTAAAATTTAAATGATGGAAACCAATAAAAGGATATGAATGGGTCAAAATTTTAATTGCTGCTTTTCTCACTGGATTAAAAGGACCAAGTATAAACAAAGCAGGCATAGCAGTAAACCGGAAAATAGTCCTCCTTTTATTTAACACCATGAAAGTCTACAAACAAAAGATTTGTAATATATGAAATATTTTCATGAAACAAAAATTTCCCCCAGATAGTAACATTTAAAAATCTTAACCTAGAACTATATTTAATTGTGTCTATGAGTTTAGCTTTCTTGTATCCTTACTTGGAGCTGAGACTTAATGATACTACATATTGAATGCAGCTACACATAAGTTTATATTTTCCGTGAAGAGGAAGTGGGAAGTGAGTACAAGGCAAATGCTCTCATTCACTTGGTCAAAGTACTTAAGGATACTACTTTGGGACTGTAATACTGGTGTGAATCTTACTTATAGATACCTTACTCTTGGAACATTGCATAGGCTACAAAAGATTATTTAAAAACTTAATTATTAAGACTGCATAAGTAGAAATTTTCATTTCGCAATACCCCTAAACTATCAAATAGCTCTGTAAATTCTAAGTAAACTAAGGTTCATTAGTGCCGAGTACTCTTGCCAGATGAAGCGTTCACTGACATTTATGAAAATGCCTTGAATTGAAACAGCCTTAGTTTCTCTTCTCTTTATCAAGACCACCCAAATAAATGTGAAGAAAAAAGTTTATATTTCATTAACTTTTGTTGGCATATAAAAAATGGGTTGGACGACCCCTTCCACTCTTCAGCTCAAGTCAGCTTCAGTAGTAACAATCATACAATAGAAAATCAATTCTGAAAGGATTCCTAAAGCATTTACTTGACACACTCCCATAGACGATACCAAAAAAAAAAAAAGCTTTGGAATAGCATGGGATATACACCATATGAATATATCACAATAAGCAAAGTTGATGATACATTAGCAAATAATATTAATTTAGTATTCCTTAAGGAAAAAATATATCTTTATTACACAGACTTCAGCTCCAGACTCCATAGAGAGACCTGCTCTAAATAACAAAGCATAACGTATCTCAGGATATGTTTTCCATATTTTCATAATTAAAACTGCTTGTAGAGAGGGGTTTAAAATAGCTTTTAGTAGTAAAATATGGAGTATACCCTAGCATTCCTAATTTAGGAAATGCTGGTAACGTTCTAAGATCTGACTACAGAAGAAACAAAAAACACAGTCACCTGCATGAAGTTTTTATATATTAAGACTTTATCATAAAAATACAAAAACAAATAAACAGAAAAGAAAGCAAAGAAGAAAAAAGAAAAGAAAAAAAAAAAAAAACACTTTTAAGGCTTTAACCTTGTGGTCACTGTAGTATGGATCAAAATCTTCCAGTGGTTCCCCAATGAGATCCTCAGGAAGATCTCCATAGAGAGAGGGCAATTTTTTGCATGTTTTCAGATCCAGCTGGGGAGTAAGTTTTTCTTCTTCAGCATCTTGACTCTCCTCCTTATCTTTGTTTTGCCTCTTCTTTCTCTCAGCAATTCTTTGCTCGATTGCTGCCAGGGACTCAGCAGTGAAACGCCGAAAGCCGTTTGTTTCTGGTGACCAAAGCAAGGGATCCATTTTTCCTTCTATACATTTAATTCCAGTGCTAGAAATAATTTACAAGAGAAAGTTATCAATAACTAAAAGAGAACAGAAATAATACATGGCAAAGACTACTTTTACTACTTAGACTACTACTATTAGACTACTTATTAGATAGATAAATTATTTCTGCCTTCTTCTGCATCCTTGCAAAAATAAAGTAAAACCAGCTAGAAGTACATTTCTTTAGGAGAAAGGGTAATCTGAAACAACACTCTCAGACATTAACTACAAGTGATTGTGGACTCCTCTTGTACAAGCCAGGTTGCAAAAGAGACTTTTTTCTTTCTTACTTTCAGTAGGAATACACATCTGTATCAGAGCCCTGACAATCAACTAATTGATTCTCTCTACAACAACTTACGTCTTGCAGCTTACTGGGTTTTTTTTTGCAAGCAAAAGCTAGTTCCATATCTACCACCCCTCTGTCATAGATGGGATCACAGAATCATTTAATTGCAAGAGAACCTGAAAGATAATTTGATCCAAATTTGAAGATAGGTCATGTTGCTCAAGACCTTGTCCAGCAGAGTTCTGAAAGTCTCCAGAGAGACATTCATGATGCAAAGTAAAAATAGGTCTTTTCCTCATCAGTCTCGAGCTTCATTCTCCCCAGATTCTCTTTTGTTGGTCATATGTGTGCTTTGGTCCTACTGTTTATAAACCACACTTTTAGCCCTTTCCATTTGCCATCTACACTCAATGCCTGAAAAATACTCTGCTCAGGAGGCTTTATTATAACACTGCTAAGTAGAAGATGAAGAGAGTGCCCACAACTGAGCCTATACCATATTTGGTTTTATTAAAAACTATTTGTATTCTTTTTTATTCATTAATATTAAAGATAAATTGCATCATAAACATGTATAAATTCATAAGTTCTAAAAGAACTAGATGCATATTAGGGGAAAAAATCTGAGTTTCAAATATGCTCCCCGATTTCTTGAAAATTTGTTGAAATTCATTTAACTTGATATGACTTTACAAGCGTATGGAATCTAAGATATATCATACTAGGAAATATCATGTGTTCCTTGATACTATTTCACTGACACTTTGCTGACAACTCCTGCATTATTTTTCTCATCTTGGGAAGAACGGAAATCCAGGTATACAGCCAGTCATGGTTTCAGGCTCATCTAACTCATTGAGAGTACTTTAGGTATTGTAAAAACATTAAGCATCCTTTTAAGTGAAAAATAGAGAGTTCCAGACATACTGATGCAACTTCCCTAACAAAGGACCTGCAAAGTAGCAGAAAGAGATAGCAAGAGGTCATTCCATAAACAGATGCACAGGCAAAAAACACAGACCTCAGCAATTAAAGTACAATTAACTATAAAAAAATTAAGGAAAAAAAAAAAACAGAACTATTATCTCCATAACAGCAAAATACTGCCAAAAAATAAAAAGAAGTCCATTAATATGTTTCACAAATACAAATTGCAGAATGCTCATTTAGATGATGACTAATCACTAGAGATAAAAACAAACGAACTCAGACATTTAGAATGAAAAACAAAATACAAGTTCAAGCTTTACATGCAGCTCCTTAATTTGCTTTCATCTATATGAAATTCAGAACTCCTTTCAACTCATTAAAAGTATGAAAAGTTCCTTTTATATGTGCTGATGTATTGCCAATCAAACTTCCTGCTAATAGTATTCAATAGTTCATAAGAGAAGAATTTAAATTAGAACTACAAAATACTCTCAAAGTCAACAAGCAGTGTTTTTTGATGGAAAGGCACCCCCAAGGATACAGCAGAAAAATTGGTAGGAATATAAATAGAAAAAAGTCCTTATTTTGCATTTCAATTTAGTTCTGTCATGTATAATTCAGTTCTGAATCTCAAACCATTTCTTTTCTCTCATTCAATCACTTCTGTGACTTTGGTTTTGACGAAATAAAGAGTAAACTGGAATTATGTATTCAGTTTCTGGTTAACACATAAACTATTTCACAAGGAACACAGAATAAAATACCTCGCCGTGGTAGCATTTTGTTAGAAAGCACAAATTCAAATAATAACATGCTTAAACACAGGTTAAGAGGAACCTTAAAAAATTAAATTAAAAAATGAGTAAGCATAACACAATACTTAAACTTATTAGTAAAGTTAAGGGCTCTAGATAAAGCTCTGTTCATTTACCAGTACTTATCCTCAGTATTTTCAATAAAGCTTGCTTTGGCCACTCTATATATTTTTCTATATTCATTTTGAGAGCAAGAATGTAAAATTACATTTTAGTAAATCTTCCACACAGTTCAGATAAGTATATGAACAAAACATCCAAACCCAAATATTTCAAGTAGTTCATCAAGGAATACTTAACCAAATTTAGTTGCAAACATCACATACTGTTTTGGTTCAAAGAACAAAATTGCCCTTCCAGCTCTCTGAACAAAAACAACAGTGTTTTTAGGAGCTT